CGGTTCCTCCCGGCCCCTCCCGGCCCCGCTCCATCCTCCCCGCTCCTTCTCCCGTCTGTGGAGACCGCGAGTGTGGAAAATCCCCAGACAGGGAGTGTAAATGCTTGTTCTTTGTAAATGAAGAACATAATTAACATTAAATTAAGGTAATACAAATGAAGACAACACAGAGCCTGACAGGATGAGTGTTTGGGGAGGCAGTAGAGAGAAGTGATTCATATTTTTAATTTACTGTACAAATAGACTAGCAGGGCTGGGGGGAAAAGGGCCATCCAAGTGGAGTGGGGATTTTTTTTCCCCCACTGTTGTTTTGCTGTGCTTTAAGCACACAATGACTATTAAAGTCAACTGCCCATATAATAGGACATCTCCTACATGACTGCTCTCCGAGAGGCAGCTTGCTGTAGCAATAAATTCTGGGAGTGCCATCTGCTGGTGCACCCTCCGCCGGGCACCCTGGCTCCGGCCACCCGGCCCGGGCCGTCCTGGCACCCCACAATTGCTGCAGGGACTGCAGGGCACCAGCCACGGGCCTCAGGCATCCACACAGAATTGTTATATTTCTCACAGGGCAAGAAACACTTTCCCGCACCCAACTGTAAATATTTTTCATTATATTTTTTTTTCTGAAGTTGAGTGGGTATTGTTGGTGCCGGGGAAATATTTTAGGCTTTTGAAAGATCTGAATCATTGTTCTCCATCCCTCTGAAGTGCTGAGTTTCAGCTGAGTGCCTGCTATCCAGAACACAGAAAAAATCCCACCCATTTTAGATTTTTACCTGCACAAAGACTCTTGATCAGAGTCCATGAGAACTGCATGAGCAGGCTGGGCCTGGTTCTGCACTTTAAGGAGGTGAGAGCTGCGGTCTCAGCCTGGGTCTCTGCTGGAGGATGACTTCCAGCCATGACAGAGCCAAATTTATCATAGCACAAAAGTGTCCACGGGGCTGTGACACCTGCAATGGACACACCTGCACTGCCTCTGTGTCCTCGTTCCACTCCCTGGGAAACTCCTGACACCACCAGGCAAAGGAGAAAGGCTCCAAGAGGAACCATTCCTTAATGAAATCACCCTTCCCAGGCAGAATCACCCTTCCCTGGGATGGTGCTGAAAGATTCCTCTGCTATGTCAAAACAGGAGAGGAATTTTCACCATTTAGGAGGAGGTGTCATAATTTTGAATGTGCAATCTTTTCCTTCTGGGTGACTTGTATCCTGGCAGATATTATGTGAGCAGTGCCCATGGTCCAGGGCAGCCACTTGGCCAACTTGAACACTTCCAGGGATGGGGCATCCTCACCAGTCTCACAGTCAAGAATTTCTCCCTTATATCTGATCTAACCTGCATTTTGTTAGTTTAAACAATTCTCTCTTGTCCTATCACTACATGCCCTTCTACCAAGTCACTTCCCAGTTTCTTGCAGCCCCTTTGCAGCCTCTTGCAGTGAAACCTCCCCAGAGCCTTCTCTTCTCCTGGCTAAGCGACCTCAGCCATCTCAGCCTGTCTTCACAGGAGAGGTGCTCCAGCACTCTGAGCACCTTCATGGCCTGTTCTGGACTTGCTCCAGCAGGCCCATGTCCTTCCTGTGCTGAGGACCCCAGAGGGGGACACAGCATTCCAGCTGGGAATCACTGCAGCGTACTGGAGGGACAGAATCCCTTGCCCTGTTGGTCAGACCTCCTGTGATGCAGCCCAGGCCATGCTTGGCTTCCTGGGCTGCAGGCATGATTTGCAGGGGCAGGTCAAGCCTCTCATCCACCTTCAAGTCCCTGAATCAGTCTCTGAACGTCTCAAACACATCCAGAGCCCAGGCTGCAAACACGGGGTCTATTTCCAAACCCAGCTGATTCCAGGCAATGTTCCCTGTGTCCAGCACCCTTCTGCTGTGGCTGCTAAGTTGGGACCATGGACAGCCTTAGTGAAACCAGAGGCAGGGACAAATTCTGCACCAAACTCTGGGGGCTGCCCCAGCACTGCTTTTTCTACACGGAATATGGGAGCACGTGGAGCACACAGGAACCCATCTCAGTCAAAACTGGTCCCTGGTGGAGCTCTGCAGTCAGGTGAGGTTTGTGGGGAGTGAAGGCATTCCTGTGGTGGTGACAGGGACAGATTGCTATTAGAACACCTGGTGAAACCAGTGAGAGAAGGCTTGGTGGATCCCCAGGATCCATCCTCCTGGAGCCCATCTCTGCTGGAGCCATAGGGAATGAGGGCACTGGCAGGGTGTGAGTGCTCTTGTCTGACCAATCTCTGTAGCCACTTATGGCCTCACCAATCCCCAGATATTGCACAGGGACACCAGGGTGTCTCCAGCAAGCCTTAATCTGCTTTCCAGTTAAGATGTGACCCAGTACCTTGAGCCAGGTGAGCTCAAGCCTAGAGAGCTTCCATGCAGATATCCAGTGACGGGCCATGACCATTTCCTTGAGGACCACCATTCAAAGCATCTGGAGAGTTTAAACGAGGGTCTTCTCTCCCATTCCACATTCCAGGGCTGAGCCCCAGCCCTCCATGTGAATACTTCAGCCTTGAGCCCACCCAGCCTTTAGCACTGGGCACACCAGGAGAAGGCACTTGTGCATTTGGAGAGAGCCACCTTCTTCTTTGTTTCTGCAAACCTTAAAAGGATCAGCAGCATTTCCAGCTGCCCAAGTAATTTCTCACACTCTTCTTGGCACCTTCTCCAGTTTTTCAAGGTCTGTTTGGACACTACTAGAGAATACATCCTTATCCTCACCAGACAGAACCAGTGCTTTTGGAGGCCTCAGTCCAGGGAGCTGGATTTCAACATGGGGAAGCAGTTTTGGACAAGGAAAAGCAGCTCAGAGCCCACTCAGCCATATCCTTGCTGAGAAGCCTGCAGTGGAGCAGCTGGGAATGCCTCCCTGGCAAGACAAGCAGAAAGGAAGCCCAAATCCCTCTTTTGTGAAAGTAAAAGGTCAGTGGCATGGGGCAGTTTGAACTACAACCAAAACAAAAAAAACCACCCTTGCCCCAGTAGCTTCAGAAAAAACTGATGGTTGCCAGTGTTCCATGAGCGTGGGGGTTCCTCACCCCTAGGCCCTGATGGAAAAGAGGATGGTCATGTCCTTTGACATGGTACCCTCAAACAAGTCCCTAGGAACAAATGCATCCAAAAGATACCATAGAATTCTTCCAGTGACCCCCAGTCCTTGGAAAGAGGTCTCTTCTGGCTCTGGTGGCATCTAAAACCCTGACAGAAATGGGTCCTGACCCCACATTTCCCAGGTCTGCCTCATCTCCCTGGCCACTTAGAGCAGTCCTTGGCCATAAGGCAACATTCCCACTCCTTGGCTATGCCAGATCCCCAGGAATGGGGGGCTGGTCCCAGGGGGGCCATTGCCCTCACATGGAGGGCAGGGGGCATCCTCCAAGCTGCCCCACATGCTGGGTGGGAGAGATAGATAAATACCAGAATAAATAAATACAAGTGGCAAAGAGGCCTGAAATGATGCTGTCGTTTGCTGGGAATGAGAGACACAAGTGTAATTTAGGTTTTGATATTATCAAAGTCTCGCTGCTCTAAAACAGCAGGGCACTCAGTGCCTCATTAATAAAGGATAAACTTGGAGTCTATTTACAATGCACTTTTTGGGGTTATTTACACTCCATTATACATATGTAATGCTGCACATATTTACCGCTCTGTTCTGCTGCCGGCGCGGGGGAGGCGAGCGGGGAGCGCCGGGGCTGCAGAGCCTGACCCTGCTCTCACTGCTGGCCTGGGCACAGCCCAGCATGCTCCAGAGCCCCAGGCTGCTGGCTCGGGATGGCAGGGATGGGAGCAGGCTCTGGGGAGCCTGTATGGCCCTGTCCCCACGGGCCCAGCACCCACACACAGCCAGCAGCGCCCTGAGGCCTTGCCAAGGGGTGCAGGAAGGGTGGGCTCCTCACTAAGTGACCACAAACACCAAACACCAAGCTGTGGACCCATCACAGAGAGGGAAACTGGAAAAAAAGGGCTAAATTATTTGCAACAAAATGATGTTTGTGCTGGCATGAGAGTGTTTTAGCCACACAGCCCCCTTTCCCCTCACCTGGGCTTACCTCTCACCAGAACAAAATGTTGTAGTTTTCCTGCAAGTGACAGCTCCTGGCAGGTCTAGGAACCCCATGGTTTACCAGGGTATTTGTGGGAGCTGCTGGGGGGGTCCTGGGACACAGGACAGCCTCTCCCTCCAAACACAGCCCCCAGGATTCAAGGCAGAGACATGGGAGAGGTTGTGCTTAGAGAGCACCTTGGAGCCACAGCAATTCACAGGGTGCAGTAAGGGGATGAGGTTTATCCTGGATCCCTTGGGAATGTGCAGAGTTCCCATGGGAGCACTCTGTGGGGCCAGCACACAAGGCTGGGCACCAAGGGCTCCCAGCAGCCTCTGGAGGGGCACAGTGGCTGGACAGTCACCCCCAGCTCAGAGCTGCTCCATGTCCCTTCTGCAACAGCCTCCAGCTTTGCATGACCGACTTGGGGTGAGATGCAAGAGCCTGGGAACCATCCTGACCACCCTTCCTAGAAAATGTGGGGTGACTTTGACCTTTCCAGCCAGTCACAGGGGGGAGGAGGCTAAGCCTCTCTTCCCATTCCCTGATGCTGGAGAAGCACCTGCCCATTCCAGCACCCTCCTGCTTGCTGCCATTCCAGGCTAAACTTGCCAAACAATGGCTCTGGTGGCAATGCTCTTTATTAAACAGCTCATGCCAGGAGCCCTTGCCAAGGCCCCACACCCAGGAGTAAAGAGAACCCCCTGGTTCAGGAGGTCCCCTTGTCTCTGTGGGAGCATCTCTTCCAGCATGGGATCATGCCCAGCAGTCAGTGCAGCCTTGGTGCATCAATGGGGCTCATCCTGGGCCCAGACTGTGCCATGGAGAGACGTCCTGGGAGACTGAGAGATGACCAGGTTGGAACAAATTGGCCCCCACATCCTTCCCCAGCACCGAGCCTCATCCCCATCCCCATCCCCATGCCCCCAGCCCACTGAGATCAGGGCAGGCTGGAGCCTGAGCCCTCCAGGGAGCTGCTCTCCAAGGTCCCGTAGCCATCGAGCTTCATCATGCCGATGAGCTGGGCTGGCACGGACAGCACGGAGCGGCGTGTGGCGAAGATGTGGCTGATCTCCATGAAGGTCTTGTTCTTGGTCTCAGGGATGACAAGGTAGACGTACAAGGCCACCAGCAGGCACACACCACAGAAAACCAGGTAGCAAAAGGCACCGGCTGACATCTGGGGACAAGAGCAGGATGAGGCAGAGACACTGCCTGGCACTCCCAAACTGGGCATGGCACGAGGCAGAGCCACCCTGCCCTGGGCTGGCTCTGACCAGCACTGAGCTGAGCCAAGAGCACAGGCATCCCTGCCCTGGCACCCCATCCCGGGAGAGCAGCAGGGCTGTGTCCGTTCCCTCCATCCCCCAGGGCCCCTCTGGACAGGCACCTGCAGGAAGGGGAAGATGAAGCCGACGGTGAAGTTGCAGAGCCAGTTGAGAGAGCCCCCCACAATGTAGGCAGCGGGGCGGTGGGACTGCGTGAAAAGCTCAGCTGTCATCAGGAAGGGGACACCAGCTGCAGAGGGAGGGGACACATCAAAGGATGGAGGACAGGGTGACCCAGGTACCCTTGGAGCCACCAGGTTCTGCCCACCTCAGTCCTGTGGCCAAGGGGCTGGAGCCCAGCAAGGCTCATGGTTCAAACTGGTGGTGCTGGGAGAGCTGGAGGAGACAGGGAGTGGTGGAGCAGTGTCCTACCCTTGGTGTCCCTTGGGATATGTCATATGGGGGGTGATGTGATGTCCCCTGGCATACCACACTGGCACATTGCAGGGTGCTCAGGCCAGTTCCCCTGGTTGCATGACTGGAAAGTTTCAGACTGAGTCAAAATAAAGGTGAAACATTTCACGTGGATCCTCATTTTCCAAAAATGTTTCTAAATGCTGATATATTAAATCTCATGGAGATCACAGGCATAGAGAAACATCTTCCTGGCACCCTCCAATAATGCCCTTTCCAGACTCCCTTGATCAAAACAGTTTAGAAAACTTCATTCTATCAATCAGCTTCTGTTGCCACTGTGGCTGATTCAGGGAGGAAAGAAGCAACCACTTTTCTGAGCATCACAATCTGCTGCAGGACACAGAAATACCATTTTCCAACCCGCTTTTCCCATGCAGAGTGAAAGAACCCAGAATGTATGGAAGTGGTTTTCCAAGACAACTTGTAAGAGGTCTGAAAACTGGACACAGGGTGTGGCTATTTCTTCTAGAAGGACTTAGCCTCTCCAGCCAAGTGTCACTGAGCCAGAATCCTGGGTCCCAGGACTGTCCCTGTGTTGGGGGGCAGGATCCAAGGCCCAGAGTACCTTCCAAGACACACAGGAATCTGGCAGGGGATTGCTTTTGATATGGTGACATGCCTGGGGTCACAGGTGCCTCAAACAGGGCTGGCTGGACCTCTTTATAAATGCAGGGAAAAGATGAACCAAAAGCCAAGCGCAAGAAGTGAGGGAGGAGTGGGGCCCCTGACGGACTCTTACTCACAGCTCACCCAGAACAGAGATATATATTTTTTTTGTTTTAAAACTCCTATTCATCATTGTTTGTGAACAATGAGCCATTAAAATCCTAATTAAAGATGTAATTACAGTGAATAAAGTCTGGGCTGAGGATGAATTATAGATCTGTTAAGAGCTCTGCTAATACATCAACTGGGTAAACCAGTCCAGGTTTCACTCCTGGCTGCTGGAGCCTGCACTCCATTAGGGGCAGGACGATTCTCACCAGCTGCACTGTGATAGGAGCTGGGACACCTCCACGGAGGTCTGGGGAAGGCTGCCAGGGCTTCACTCTGCTTCCTCCTGGAGTGTGGCCCAGCAGGAGGGGTAGAGCGAGCCCTGGGGATGTGTGGGGCTGGAGGGGTTTGCAGTGGGCTTTCACTTGGAGGTACAGCATCATAAACCAGGGCTGGACCACGGACACAGGGCCAAGGCTCAGCTCCTGTCACCTGCCTGCAAACCCTGCTGCTCTCCTGGAGCTCCCATTCCCACCCCAGTGCTCCCCATTCCCGCAGCCCCAGACCCACCTGGTCCCATGCAGAAGCCAGCGATGATGCCGACCACGCAGGCCACGCTGACGTAGCGCATCCAGGGCAGGGCAGCCTGCGAGGGGACACCGGGCTGGGGACACTGCTGGGGCTGGCCCTGACCCAGCATCCCTCTGGGGTAGTGGCTCTTGGGGACAGCGGCCACACAGGACACATTGGTGAGATGCAGACAAGCAATGGGTGGTTTGGGATAAGGCTGGTGAGGGTCAGCCTCAGCCAAGCTCAGCAGCTCCTGATGGTGCAGAATGCTCAGAGCCACGGGAGCATCCTTCGGAAGCAGACAGCAGGAGAAGGACCCTGTACCTGCCCTGGCATTTCACATCTGCCTCCCTGGGAACATTTCTGAAAAAAAGCTACCAGAAGCAGCAGGATTTTTCTCCTAGGGATTTGTATTTTCTTTTTTTTTTTGCTGTTCTTGGTGCTAAACTTACCTTCTCTTTAGCTTTGAAGGGAAAGCATGACTTGGAAGGGCCAGCTCACCTCCAATTTCCACACACGCTCCTTCCCCCAGGATTCTAGCCATCCCTCCCCCACTGAGCCCCAGATACTGCCCAGTGGGGGCAGTGGCCAGGCCCTACCTGCAGCAGCAGGGAGATGGTGATGCCAGCTGAGCAGACCCCCATGGCACAGAAGCCGGTGATGATGAGGGGCCGCCGTCCCACCCTCTCAATGGTGAAGCACTGCCAGGAGAGAGCAGAGACTGACAGGGTGCTGGGCAGCTCCAGGGTGGGTGGGAGCAGCCCTGAACCCCCGATCCAGCTGCAGGTGGAAGGATGCTCCGGGTGGTATCTGGGGATTGGGGGCAACCCCAGCTCAGAGTTCCAGGGTTGGGGCTGGGGCATGGAAAGTGCCAGGGGTGAGCATGCATGGGGCATGAGATGGGTCCCACAGAGCAGGGGTTAGGGTGCAGGGCTGGGGCGACCCACAAGCCACACTGGCATCAGTGGCAGGAGAGGAGCTGGGGAATGGGGTGTTTGTGGGGCAGTGGGCACAGCAGGGTGTGGGCAGGCAGCACAGCGGCAGTGGGAGCAGGCAGGGTATTGACAGCAGAACAAATGCCTGTAATTTTATAACCAATCTCAGCATGTCCATCAGGGGCCATTTGTGGGGCTGCTCCCAAGCAATCTGGCTCTATGCTAGGCGACTTCTGGGGGGCTGGGACACCCCCACAGAAAGGGGAGGGGAGTAGGGAGTACCCTTCAGAGAGGCAGGGGACCCCACTCTGCTCTGGATTGGGCTGTGGGAGAGGGGAGCAGCCCTCCACTCATTCCCTGTTTTCTGGGAGCAGCCACCCCCATCCATCTCTGTAATTGTCAGGGAGTGGATTTAGTGCCGGGTGGCTTGGGCTGGCCCTGGGTGACACTTGCAGATGGGACAAGGGCCATAAATCTGCCTGGCCCAGTGCTAACTCTCTGGCTAAATGAGGGCTGGCTGGGCTGGGGGGGCTGCTAGCCTGGGGCCAGGCCAGTGCTTGGCTGGGGGCGGGGGGAAAGGGAGACATGTGGCTCTGCTAACAGAGGGACAATGAAAGCGAGAGCCAGAACAAACTTCTTGTCCTCTCCATCATCTCCAACCTTTTCTTTGTCTGCCATCTCTACCCAACCTCCCTGCTACCCTAAAATTATCTCATCACTCCTAGATGTGACTCCTAGATGGAGCCTGTCTCATCCCATTTCCCATTCCCATGCCAAATCCTTTGCCCCCCACAAAAGGGGCTGTGCTGTGGCACAGATGATATTTGGGGGTCCACTCTGTCCCCCTGTTTGGTGGTGCTGGGAGCTGCCAAGAGGGCTCTGGCACAGAGGGGCTTCGTCCGTCTGTCTGTCCCCCACTCACCCCGATCAGCCCGGCAACGACCTCGATGGCGCCGGTGCCCATGGTGGTGTAGGGGATCTGGGACACGGGGATCCCGGCGTTCTCGAAGATGGTGTTGGTGTAAAACCAGATCTGCCAGGAGGGAACACAGCATGAACAGGGGGATGGGGCACTCAAGGAAATGCCCAGTGCCCTGCCAGGTGTGAGCTCAGAGCCTGCACAGCTGTGCCGGGCCAGGAGCGCGTGGGGCTTACGGCGTCGATGCCCGAGAGCTGCATGCCGGCGTTCAGCACCGCCACCGAGAGCGTCTGCCAGCGCAGCGAGCGCTCCCGCAGCAGCTGCCACACCGACGCCATCTCCACACAGGACAGCGACCGCTGCTCCTCCTGCATCTCCTCGATCACGTCCTGGACCTCGGGGCTCCCCAGGAACCGCTGCAGGGCTGTGGGCAGAGCGGGCCATGGACACGTGTCCCCAGCAGAGGGCACAAGCTCACAGGTATGGCACCAGGTAAGGGCTTGATTCTACCCTGGCCCAACCTCCCCAGCAGCCTCCCTGCGGGGACCAGCATCCATAGGAAATGGGGAAATCCTCACACCACAGTGCTGGGCACCATGGGAATGCTGTGGCAGAACCAGATGTGACACAAGGGCTGAACCATCAGGATTGTGTTGGGCTGTCAGGTATGGGCATGCAAGAATGTCATGAGGAAGCACCTTGGTCTTGGAGGACCTTTGTGAAGCACCCTGCACCTTTCAGAGCCAGTCTGCCCAAGGATATCCCCTCACCTTTGGTGGCCCCACAGATGTCATTTCTTTCTATCAGCAGGTACCGAGGGCTCTCAGGGAAGCAGTGCAGCAGCAGGAGCTGGAGGGAGGCAGGAACAACCACCACTGACAGGAAAAGGGGCCAGAACCTGTCCTGGGAAGAGTTGAAATGGGATGTGTCATGGAGAGAGCAGAGCAGTGTCCAGCATGTGTGGGCTGGGGTACTGTGCTCACCTTGCCCAGCAGTTCTGGCAGGCCCAGGACCTGGGCAGAGAAAACCCCCAGGCAGATGAAGATGCTGGGCATGAGGCCCAGGAATCCCCGCAGGTTCTTGGGAGCGATTTCTCCCAGGTAGAGGGGGACCACACTAAGACAGATACCTGGGGGGCACAGGAGGGACTGGGATGGCAGAGGCAGAAGGGAGAGGCCAAACCCTAGGCCCATCTCCTCCCATGTCCAGCATCATGCACAGTGGGGGCCCCGTGGCGTTGGAGGTGGCCCTGGCTGTACCAGAGAACCCCTCCACAAAGCCTGTGGGGATACAAAGCCCTCTTCATCCCCCTAGAAATGGCTGTAGGGGACTGAGCCATGAGCAAGGGGCTGTGCCCAGCCCAGGGAGCACCCACCTGAGTGGATGCCCGTGATGGAGCGGCCGATGATCACCATCTCGGGGGATCCCAGCTCCCGGCTGAAGCCCATGAAGCCGCCGGCCAGGAGGACGAGGAGAGCGCTGCGGCTCAGAGCCCCATTCCTGGCAGGCACAAGCAGCAGCAGGGAGCTCCTGCAGTCCCACCCCACCTCTGGAGCACCCTGGCCCTGGTGGGACACCCTTACCTGCCGTAGCGCTCCACCAGCAGCCCCACGAGCAGCGAGCCCCCCAGGCCGCCCAGGGCGAAGATGGAGACAGTGAGGGCATAGAGCAGGGTCAGGGGGGCAGGGCCCAGCCCGTGCCCGTAGCGCTGGGACCACGTGGCGTTGTAGAAAGCCTTTATGTGCTGCAGGGCAGAGACACGCACGGGCACCAGCTGTGCCGGCAGAAAGGGTAAGGCAAGGGAAGAGAGGACCTACAGGGACAATATTGTGGGTTTAACAGCATTAAAGGAGATGCAGGGCAGAACATGTTTGGGGATGACTGGGATGTGCGTCTCGTTGCTCAGCAAGTCTCAGCACCTGAGAGGCCTAAGGATGGCTTAGGGATACCAAAGAGAGCACTCAAGCTGGAGCAGGGAGGTTGTGGCCAGCTTTCCAGGCCCTGCTTTCCCGGGGGAACAAGTTTGGAGTACATGAACGTGGATGCTGATGTCCTTCCCCTGCCATTCCTCTCTGGGTGACTGCTCAAGGAAAGTGCCAGTGTTTTGACGTGGGGCTGCTGGACAGCTGTCCCTCCCCCCTCCAAGGGAGGGATGCATGGCTGTTTTCCCTGCTCCCAGAGAGGCTGCCCATCCCTTACCTCTGCCGGTGAGTTCACCACAGCAAGGTTGTAGCCATAGGGCATGGAGGAGCCAAAGGATACCAGAAGGGTGACAGACAGCAGGGAGAAGGTGAGACGCTGGGAAAGAGGAGGAAGGGTCAGCACAGTCCTGGCCAGCAGAGCCAGGAGCCAAGGTGTCATGGACTGCCCCTTTTCCAACAGGGATGACCCTGGCCCAGAGCAAAGACCCCAATGCAATGGAATCCTGTGTTGAGCACTGCTTCATGCCAGTGCCCAGCACCCAGCCCAGCTGATCCAGCTTCCTCCTGGCTGGTCTTGTGGCTGTGGTGTGAGGTTTTCTACCGTGGTGGTGACCCAGTCTGGGTAACCTGGGCACCCCTGCCCAGCTGGGAGGGGCAGCAGATGGAAAAAGGAGGGACACCGATCCCCCTACCTCAGTGGAGCAGCTAAGTGGCGCTGCTCTGAGTGGCCCAACACCACTGAAATGTTCCCGTGGAAGGTCCCAGCGCACCCCAAAACACCACCCGGACCCACCTCCTGAACCCTCATCCCCTCCAGCGCCTTTGCCTCCCCCTCCTGCTGGGCTCCTCACTGCGGAGAGCCGGGGGCTGTGGGGAACAGCCCCATTGCAGCTGTGACCCAGCCCAGACCGGGACCGGGGCGCTCAGAGCATTCAGAGCAGCCCCAGCTGCAGGGACAGCCCGGGGTGCTGCAGTGAATGTCCGGAGCGATGGATGTCCCCG